AGCATTGACAAGTGCTCTTCGACGTTTCTTTTATGCGTATATAGTTAGCTATCCTTCTTGCATTCATGTATATGCCAAAGTTGTAACTAAATCTTTAGCTCCTTAATTTCTTGATATCAAAAGAGGTTTCATTGTCGATCTTCCTAACATCATACCTTTTGCCATCATTTTTTGAAAAGCTCTTTTTACATTGTTTTTAGTTATACACTGTGGACCTCAGTGTGTCAAAAATACTCTTTATTATTGACCTTCTGGCAAAGACCTTTGTTTTTTTAAAGATATGATTCTTTTTTATCATTGTATAAAGTTATAGTTATGTATAAAGTTATTTTTTTACAAATGGTAAATGATAAATATGGGATTCGAACCTAGAACCTTACGATAAACTGTTAAAGTTTTTACCAGCTAAATTAGTTGATAGCTTCGAATCATTTGTTGTTCTTTGTTTTAGATGTCATTTGGTAAACGTATATCTTATAATGAACCAAGATTCAGCAGAACAATTGTTCTGCTGTATACTGTGAAATATATTGTCTAGTTATTTCCTAACAGGTTTTGTTGGTTTTCATGCCATATCTTTGTGATATCCCATGAATTTTCTCCACCAAATTTTCACCAGCGCAAAAGGTTGGTCGCCTCTCAAACTACTCTAGGTTGCACCAAATATCGACTATTGACTAAGAAAATTGTATTGATCCCAGCATTACCATATGTATCTAAGCATATTAGGAAACATGGTATATCTCTATGCTGCATTTTCATTCCTGGTTCTGAAGGCTTGTACTTGTGTTATACTTTTTTCTGCATTTAGGAAGATCTACTTCTGTTGTGGAATGCATATGTGCAAAACCTAATGCCCAGTTACAATGTATTTTTCTCCAAGTATTCTGTGGGGTAAACCATTTTTAGGAAATCGTTGCTACTGCTATATGGCCTGCTTACATGAAGCTATAGTTTATCTCCACTGGGAACACCTATGGTTTATTTGTTCTTGAACAACATTTCTGCTGTTGCACTTGTTTGCTGCTATCTTTTATGTTATTGTGACATTGTTATTAAATTTCTACATTTATTGTTTAGAGTTATTCTTGATTCTAAATTAGGGTATTCAAACTTATGCATGCGTAGTTCAGTTTTTAGAGTAACTTGGTTGCAAAAAATTGGGTTTGTAAAGAACTTTTTAGACATTATGTTTTGTCCAAGGTTGAACTCGATTTATATGCCTAATGAAGTACAAAGAATAATTTTGATAATTTATTTGATGATAATTTATATTAAAATGTAAGTTGTTGTTTGATAAAAAATTAGGTATATTGAGAGTCGTATATTTGAAATATGATTTCATGTTTGATAAGTTTTAAATTGTATTTGGTTTGGATGTTATTGTTATCTTAGCATTAGCAATTTAATATTTCATGTTAATTTTTTTAATATTTTAAATTTTTTTATGGGAAAATTTATATTTTTATTTTTAAAGATTATTTTATATTCATTAATACGATTATATTTATTTATTTATTATATATCTAGGTATATGAAATTTATTTGTAAGATTATATATTTTTATTTATTTATTTATTTAAAATAAAAATATATATTTAATAAATATTTAAAATATAATTGATTTATTGTTTACTAAATACTATGCACAACTGTACATTTAACTTGAGATGTCTTCTTTAAATGCATTTTAAAGAGATCAATATATTCTCATATATGATAAGTTTTTGTGTTTTTTTTTAGATTCTCCTTTGCTATTATTTTTTGTATTGATAGTTGAGTTGAGTCTAATTTGATTTTACTAGAATTTTGAAATGAAATATAAAGAATAGTTTTTGATAATGTATTTGATGATAATTTATATTAAAATGTAACTCGATCTACAGTTGACTTTGTTTGACCAATTTAATCGTAAGGCGACAATTCGTTATCGATTTGTTTGAACTCTCTATTGAGAATCGATGTTGTCCATTTGATCATAAATCGAACTGTTGGCATCAAAATTAGAAAGATAAAAAGCAACAAAAGGGAGAATCATATCTCCCTCTCTCTCTCTCTCTCTCTCTCTCTCTCTCTCTCTCTTACC